GTTGATGTTATTTATTTACACACGTTAACAACACTCTTGAAACGGCTCGTTAAATGAAGGATAAAATCACAAAGGTCACAGAAATAACATAAATTTTCCATCATGCTTGCTGGGGTGGCGAGGGGTGCTGGTGCCTGTCTCCAGCTGTCTTCGGGGGATTCAATTCAATTCAGTGTATTTATATAGCGCCAATTCACAACACATGTCATCTCAAGGCGCTTTACAGTTCAACCAGATCATACAGTCAAATTGATACGTTTCTATTTAAGGAAAACCAGTTTATTGCATTGACTCAAATACAATCCCTCACACTAAGCATGCTTGTAGCGACAGTGGAGAGGAAAAACTCCCTTTGAACAGGAAGAAACCTCCAGCAGAACCAGGGGAGAGGCGGGGTCCGCCCTGGACAGGTCTCCAAAGGAGAAATTTAGTTTATTTATTTATTTTAACAGCGCTGGTGACTCGCTTTTCTGACAGTAGGCTGACAGGAAAGGGGGTACAGTATGAGAGAGACATGCAGGAAATGACCACAGGCTGGATTCAAACCCGTGTCGAGGACTAAGGCCTCCGTAGATGGGTTGTGCGCACTAACCGCTGCGCCACCTGCACGCCCCACCTAAGGAGAATTTAAAGAGGCCAATTGACCTAAAAGTCATGTTTTTGGACTGTGGGAGGAAGCTGGAGTACCCGGAGAGAACCCACGCATGGTCAGGGAGAACATGCAAACTAGGGGTGTAAATCACATCCATCATGGCGATTCGATTCAGTATCGATTTCCTGACCCAACGATTCGATTATTTTCAATAATCAATAATACACCACGATTCGATTCGATTAATTGGTTAATTTTTTTTTTTTTAACACCTTACAGGCTGAACAAAGTATCAAATTTGAAATAAATCAATGAAAGCTGCATCGTTATGCAGAAGTAGAAAAGTTGTATCAAAAAAATCCTGCACATAATCAGTGCAATGAGTGCAATTCAATACCTCGGCTCCAGACGTCCCGCCCCTCCACAGACGCTCCGCTGCTCCTCTCCCAGATTGTAGCTGACGGCAGACAGTGCAGCAGACAAGAGGCCGGCTTGGTTTGTTTTTATGACCGAAATTGCGGAAAACAACTCGTGAAGTTTGACCCACTAGAAGAGCGAGGTGCGCGAGAACGCAGGGACCCTTTTTCCACCTGGATCTCCGCTCTTTTTGGCCCTCATGTCCCTCCGTCGTCGGACTAAACTCGCCCCCACTTCCTCGCCGCCTCGGCCGTATCTAGACCCACAGCGTGTAGCACAGACCACGCTTCAATATTGAGCATAATTTACAAATGTCTGCATCAAGCTCACTGCAACACACTGCTGAGAGTATAACCAGGAAGCGAGGTAGGAGGGCAAAATAGGTTTAGCGCCACCGCAGCACGGGAGGGAGAATTACGCCCAGGAGCAAATGGATAAAAATAGACCGGAGGAAAAAAAACATGAATTGATTCTCTTGTGGACGTATCGATGCATCGGATCGTCGGCTGTTGGATCGATGCATCGATACAAAACGATTATTATTTACACCCCTAATGCAAACCCATGCAGAAAGACACCGGGCCGGGAATCGATCCCGGAACCTTCTTGCTGCAAGGCAGCGCTGCACCTCTGAGCAGCCGGAAGAAGTTCTTTTAGTGTTGTTATATTGTCAGCGTCTACCAAAGGGCACCACAGTTCTTAAGTAGAGAAGAAAAATGTTACTTGCAAGAAAAGTAAGGCCAATATGAAGAAGGAATGCCAGGGGAGACACAGGACTCGATCCAAAGTCTGGTCCAGGAATATTTACACTATTTATCGGCAACGAAGATGCAGAATGAACTTTTTCTACGGTTCTGTTTGTAAATATAAACACTAAATAAGCACCTTAGGTTATCATCTAAATAGTGTCCGTTCAGTCGCTCTGCATGAAGAAGCAGCATTGACTTCTCTGGTGTGTTTGAAAAAGGTTTTTACAAAAGAAACGTTAATGACATTTTAAATTTTACGACCGCAGTACCCAGAGAGAACCGACGCATGCTGAAGGAGAACATGCAGAAAGACCCTAGGCGGGAAATGAAACCCGGAACCTTCTTGCTGCAAGGCAGCAGTGCTACCACTGTGACACTAAACAGCCCTTTACAAACGGTCCTTTAACCCCCCCCCTCCTCGGTATGAGAATGAACTTAGCCGGCCGGGAACACGCTCCTGTAGGATGTTTGACAGTTTCTAAGCTGCTTTGTGATTTAATAAGCAGCGTGTTGATGTGGGTTTCTGTGGTGCAGGAGGGAAAGTTGTCAAATTGGGGCGCGTGGCACCGTTCATGTTCTTTATTCGTTTTCCGTGCTCAGCTGGGAGCTGCAGAATGTTCCTTACATAGGCCTCCTGGAAACCAGCGGCCTCCTGTTACATAAAATGATTCTGACAGCAGTTTAAAGGGTTAGTGTTCAAAGACACGTTGGCAACTGTTCTCCAACGGAAGCAAATGGTCCTTTAAACAGAGAAAACTGGTGTCGACGGCCAACAGGAGAGGTTCACTGAGGACACGTCCATCCCAGGGCGACACAGAGACACGCACGACAAACAACCTCATAACACCAGAGAGACACCTGCAAACCTAAACGCTCTGTGTTCAACTAACAGAAGTTGCTCAATAATTAAAGTCAAGCTTTTCTTTTATTCCACTTTACCGGTTAAAAACTCATCACCTATGAGAATTAAAAAGGGTTTTAGCATCTAGCAGGGGCGGATTTGGGAAATTTGTGGCCCTAGACAAAGAAGGCAAAAACAGAGCCGTTATACAGATAGAGAAATTTTAATAGAATAGACATCCATTATCTGTTCTAGGTTGTGTCCCTCTCTTCTTGTCCCTTTTCTTCTTGTTTTCCTCTCTATGTTTTGTACTCAGCTGACTTTTCATGCTGTCTCTAAAGGAATGAAAGATTTTTTCCAAGCACTAAGCTCACTTAGCTGATTGCTCCTTCCTGTGTTTCCAAAAAGGCCAAAGTAAATAACCCAGTCCTTCTTTTCACTGTAGACAAGCCATGATCTGCTTATCTGTTCTCCATTTTTCATTTGGATGAAATAATAGCTGCATGAATCATGACAGCAGACAAGATAGAGGAGAGCAGGAGGCGGGGTTACCAATCTACTCGCTCTGGAGAGCAGAGTTCGCTGCTCCAAAGTCTGAGACACACTTAATATTATCAGTGTTCTGATGGCATTTAGGTGAAAGGATTTTTATCAAAAATTTTATTAATGTGCACAAATAAGGAATAGTTGTACTGATTATACATGTAAACAGAGTTTTATGGGGCCCCCAGGAACTAGTTGCCTAATGGTAAATCCCCCGAGCATCTAGTTTGTATAACACCAAAGTTTAAGCTTTAGCTCTGAAATGTTCTGTTCTTCATTTCATCATCATACGTAATATTTAGGGATGCACGATATATTCGGCCCCCTATCGGTATCGGCCTTAAAACTGAATATCGGTATTTGATATTACCCGATATTTGATCAGCTTCTGAGTTTCTAAAGTCTAAAAAAAAAAATAAAAAATACTACTTCTTCTTCTTCCTCAAAAACTTCTTTTTTACAGACTTAAAAACTTCTAAAGATGAGGGAAAAAATATTGATACATTAAAATATCACAATATCTTCATATGCTGATATATTGCCATTTAAAAACACCATATCAATCTCTTTTACTAATGAAATATTGCTATATGTCATCGTTATGCTACGAAATCCCCCGAAAATTCACCAAATGTTGCCATATTTTTATATGTTGATATATTGACGCGGTATCGATCTATTTTACTAACAAAATCTCAAAAGAATTTGCAAAATATCACGAGAGTTTGTAACAGAACGATGTTTTTAAAAATCAATTTGATATCAGCATATGAAAATATATTTGAGTATATTATTTTTCAAAGTGTCAGAAATGGATAACAAAACTGCTATTTTCAAAGACTACTTATTTTTGTCCAGCTTTAACATCGGTATCGATATCGGTTATCGGCTACATGAGTTTTAAAATATCGGCATATCGGATATCGGCCAAAATCCCAATATCCTGCATCCCTAGTAATATTGATTTTTTTTTTTTACTGGGATTTAGTTTTTCTTGAGTAAACACTGTTAAACTATTAAAATGAGCTCATATAGCGTATTCCCTGATAAAGGTAGACAGTGTGTATTTCCTGTCAGGTGTTATTAGAAACCCATCTGCTCATAGCAGCTCTACATCTGCTCTCTGGATGGGGGCTACTGCCGCCTACCTTTAATCCATGTGTTGCTCTAACACTGACTGACGTGTTAATAAACCGCTGGCTGCTGCTCTAACTCTACCATAAATAGGACGCTTTATGTAATCTGCTTTCAGACGTTACATGGTGGTCCTGGAAAATGGGTGCAAATGATTTAACATTTGAAAATGTTTATTCCTGAGATAATCTCAGCTAAGAACCTCAGCTCTGGTGTTTGTTTAAAATAAACTCTTCAGCATTTCTTCAAAAAATTTCTGACCTGCTTCTGCGATGTGCATCAGGGTAACCCACAGCTTTAAAGGTCACTGTTTAAAGGTTAGCTCCCCTGTGGTTTGCACCTATGGCCCCTGCCTACTCAAAGTGAAGCACTTCTTGTTGAAACTGAGATTGAAAAGAAAATCTGTTGTTACACACTGCCAAAAAAACATGGAATAAGACAGTTTACATTTAAAATAAGAAAAAAAAACAACTGCGGCGTCTTATTTTTAGTCAATATTATCTAGTTATCTTATTTTAAGAGTGAAAATCTCATTCTTTTGGCAAATCTGCTGAAATTAAGTGTAAATGCACTGAATTTAAGACATTTTTACAAATTTTTAGATCGTTTTTGCAGTTCAGAGTTTGTTTTTATTTCTGGAGCTTTGCTTTTTTTTGTAGCTTTTCTGCTTTTAATAAGAAAAACTAAACCCTGCTTCTGTTTCCTGGTTTCTGTGTCTCTCCAGGATCCCTCGGTGCAGAAGGTGGGTGGCGGCAGGAAGAAGACGGTGTCCTTCAGCAGCATGCCCTCCGAGAAGAAGGTAGCTGAAAAATCCTCCTTGTGGTCAGAGTTGGACAAAGATCTGAGATCCATATCCGGCTTTTTTCTCTCCTAACAATCATTTTATTAGAGAAGGATCAGTTATTGTTTAAGATTCTGGTTAAGATTCTGGTTCACGAGTTTGGATTTCTTGATTGATTGATTGATTTTTTCAAATGGAAACAGTCTGAGACTCCCAGGTTTACACCCCCCCACCATTGGACCTTCTTCCAGTCTTGCATAAAATGATGACACATTCTAATAACTAGTTCTATGGCCTTTTATTGAAGTATTGCGATTCTAATTTGATTTTTACTGATTTTCTAGAACGTTCTCATAGTTCTCTCCTCATCTACATCCTAAAGATGGCTGCCAGTCCATCACAGAGACGTCACACATCATCATTCCATGCTCACTAACTCTCACACACCCTTACAGGAAGTTTAGAGTGACCATTTAGCCTAACAGTACTGATTTTAGATGGTGGGAGGAAGTTGGAGTACCTGGAGATAACCCCATAGAAGTAGGAGGAGACTGGGATCTAAACCACCAACCATGGTTCCAGTGTTTCCAACTGTGGCACAGTGGTCCAGTAAAGTGTGTCCAGATGCGTCTGATGTGTCTGCTGAGATGGCAGAGAGCAGCTTTGCTGTATTTGCTGTGATCAGTGGGTAAAAAATAGTCTGAATATGTTTTTAAGTAAGAAAGTTTTGGTCCTCATCCATGCAGAAAGTCCCTAGGCGGGAATCAAACCTGGAACCTTCTAGTTGCAAGGCAGCAGTGCTACCACTGTGACACTAAACAGCCCTTTACAAACGGTCCTTTAACCCCCCCCCTCCTCGGTATGAGAATGAACTTACCCGGCCGGGAACACGCTCCTGCAGGATGTTTGACAGTTTCTAAGCTGCTTTGTGATTTAATAAGCAGCGTGTTGATGTGGGTTTCTGTGGTGCAGGAGGGAAAGTTGTCAAATTGGGGCGCGTGGCACCGTTCATGTTCTTTATTCGTTTTCCGTGCTCAGCTGGGAGCTGCAGAAGGTTCCTTACATAGGCCTCCTGGAAACCAGCGGGCTCCTTTTACATAAAATGATTCTGACAGCAGTTTAAAGGGTTAGTGTTCTGCCACGTGTTTTGTGACGAGGCCTACAGTCCACTGAGGACACGTCCATCCCAGGGCGACACAGAAACACGCAAGACAAACAACCTGATAACACTAAAGAGGCAGATTACCATCCTGCCTTCAAAGATTATTTCTCTGTGGGAGCCGCTCAGACCCCCACATACCGGCGCTGCGCTGTCACTGGGAATCCCCAGCAGCAGCTGTCTCAGGCCCGCTCGCCTCTTGGGGGTTTTCCCCTCCTGTTGGTGGCGGCTGGAAATAGATGTTAGCGTTTTTCAGTTCTGTGCTACAAACTGCAGGAATCAGAATAATAAAATTGAACATAGTTTGTCAGCAGGTTTCTACATTTTAAGTCAATTTAGGCATTATTAAACTGTTTCAGAGGAGTGATCATAGCGCTCTGCATCAGCAGTGCTGCGTCTGACTCCCTGCCAGCTCCCAGATCAGCTTCTCTCATTGGTTGATGTTGCATGTCGGGCAGCTTAAGTTCAGTTTTTCCAACTCCAGCAGCTGCTGCATCTAGGGATGCACGATATTGGGATTTTGGCCGATATGCCGATATTTTAAAACTCATGTAGCCGATAACGATATTGATACCGATGTTAAAGCAGGACAAAGATAAGTAGTCATTGAAAATAGCAGTTTTATTATCCATTTCTGACACTGAAAAATAATATACTCAAATATATTTTCATATGCTGATATCAAATTGATTTTTAAAAACGCGGTATCGATCTATTTTACTTTCAAAATCTCGTGAAATTTCATCGTTTCGTTACAAACTCTCGTGATATTTTGCAAATTCTTGTGAGATTTTGTTAGTAAAATAGATCGATACCGCGTCAATATATCAACATATAAAAATATGGCAACATTACGTGAATTTTCGGGGGATTTCGTAGCATAACGATGACATATAGCAATATTTCATTAGTAAAAGAGATTGATATGGTGTTTTTAAATGGCAATATATCAGCATATGAAGATATTGGGATATTTTAATGTATCAATATTTTTTCCCTCATCTTTAGAAGTTTTTAAGTCTGTAAAAAAGACGTTTTTGAGGAAGAAGTAGTATTTTATATTTTTTTTAGACTTTAGAAACTCAGAAGCTGATCAAATATCGGGTTAAATGTCGGTGAGGTGGCCGATGTCCGATATTCAGTTTTAAGGCCGATACCGATAGGGGGCCCATTATATCGTGCATCCCTAGCTGCGTCTGAAGCGTTTTACACACCTCAGATGCTCAGATACTAATGAGGTGCTGCTTCAGTTGCTCTGATGGGTCAAGATGCTGCTCAGAGACGCGCTGCAGGACCTTTTGATGCCCCTTGATGCACGTCAACCATTGACTTGAAAAACCGGCTCCTTCTGCTGTCCAAAGGCTACATTTGATGCAAACGTAGCCTTAGTCCTTATCCTAGCGATGCACGATATTAACAATTTCAACCAATAATTTTCTGCTCTTCATTACCATACCGAGTTCGATACCTATAAGTTGATATGCAATAAAATCTTTGCTAATCTGGGACTTGTGGTGGATAAAGCTATGAAGACTTTTCTATAGGAGAAAACAAGAGGTTTTGGCTCTTCAAATGTTTATTTTTTTCATGTGGTCACACAAAACTTTGGTCTTTTGCTTTAATGGACAGATGTAAAAGACAATGCAATTCAATTTAAACACAAAGAGCATCCCTTGAAAATTAATTATTAAACCGATCTATGGTTTAACTGCAGAGATATTTGTGAAGTCCAGTATTTTTTAAATATAAGATTATATGCATTGACAAGCAAAAAATAGGAGCAAAAGTCGAAAAAAAGGGCATCTTAAAAATAAAAAACTCAGAATCTGCAAAGGTTTTTGTGGAGCAAAGTCAAATGTTTTCAAACATGAAATCAGATATACCAACACATGCACAGTACAGACACACCTTCTCATTCAAAGTGTTTTCTTTATTTTCCTGACTATAAAAATTGTATATTCATACTGAAGGCATCAAAACTATGAATTAACACACGTGGAATTATATACTTAATAAAAAAGAGTGAAACAATTGAAAATATGTTTTTTATGCTAGGTTCTTTAAAGTAGCCACCTTTTGCTTCGATTACTGCTTGGCACACTCTGTGCATTCTCTTGATGAGCTTTTAAGCATATATCTGGCTCCTTTGGGACTTCATTAATGGCTTCATTAAAACATCACTCCATTGCAGGCTCTGTTATGGTTACTAATAAAAGTGCTCCTGCATTATGCGTAATTATGGCACAGACGTAAACCCCTGCCTCAGTTTTAGACCAAAGAGCTGTGTAATGAATACAGATGGCAAAATTCAGGACTACATGGGACTTTCTTATTCTAATTCATTAGAGATGTGACTGAATAAAAACATTAATGGACACCAGAACTAATTGTTGTTAGGCTCAGAACATCAGGATCCAGCATTCAATGCAACAGCTCCATTTCTTAAAACGTTCATTGGAAACGGTACTGCAGTGAATATTGTAGGGCAGAGGTCTTCAACAGGGGGTCCGCGACCCCTAGGGGGTCCGCAGAGGTACTGCATGGGGGTCGCGAAATTTTGGTTAATTAAACTTATATTGCCCCCCTGCAATATTTTCCACTAATTGAAATGTCTTTAAATCCACATTAACATGAATTCAACACACTGTAGTAAACAGATAAATGAAGGCAGAAGATGTCTTTCAGTCATCAATGCAGATCTGCGTTTCTGAGTAAAAATAAGTCAAATATCTGACAAAAGAGTGGAAATTAGAAGATTATATAAAAAAAATTTTGTTATTCCAATAAGTTTAATAGTAAGAAAAGAAACATAGACTCTAGTCAGAGAAAGAATATCAAGATTTGATGCATAAAATATCTAAAAACATGACTGATGCACGATATAATCGGCCCCCTATCGGTATCGGCCTTAAAACTGAATATCGGACATCGGCCACCCCACCGATATTTAACCTGATATTTGATCAGCTTCTGATCAAATATCGGATGATATTTCTCACCACCCAATCTCTGCTCTCCATAAAACCTTAATGGTGAAGACAGTTTGTCAAAAAAAAGTCTGTTTCCTGAGTCTAAAAAAAAAAAAAAAAATACTACTTCTTCTTCTTCCTCAAAAACTTCTTTTTTACAGACTTAAAAACTTCTAAAGACGAGGGAAAAAATATCGATCCATTAAAATATCCCAATATCTTCATATGCTGATATATTGCCATTTAAAAACACCATATCAATCTCTTTTACTAATGAAATATTGATATACGTCATCGTTATGCTACGAAATCCCCCGAAAATTCACCAAATTTGGCCATATTTTTATATGTTGATATATTGACGCGGTATCGATCTATTTTACTAACAAAATCTCACAAGAATTTGCAAAATATCATGAGAGTTTGTAACAGAACGATGAAATTTCACCAGATTTTGAAAGTAAAATAGATCGATACCGCGTTTTTAAAAATCTATTTGATATCAGCGTATGAAAATATATTTGAGTATATTATTTTTCAAAGTGTCAGAAATGGATAACAAAAGTGCTATTTTCAATGACTACTTATTTTTGTCCAGCTTTAACATCGGTATCGATATCGGTTATCGGCTACATGAGTTTTAAAATATCGACATATCGGATATCGGCTAAAATCCCAATATCGTGCATCCCTATGACTTATATTTTTAGATAGTCTTCAACATAAATGACAAATGAACCAGAGAAAAGAGGTCAAACGGGTATAGGATAGCTGTAACCTAAACCTTTTTTTTTATATTCCCCCTGCAATTTTTTCCACTAATTGAAATGTCTTTAAATCCACATTAACATGAATTCAACAGATTGTAGTAAACAGATCAATGGAGGCAGAAGATGTCTTTCAGTCATCAATGCTCACATTCAGCGACACACAGGAGCTCTTTCAAGCTGGGCACCGTTTCCTTCACAACACCTGTCCCATCAACCAGGAATCAGAAATACTTTAATAATTCCAGGGCAAAATTAGTTCCATTACATGACTCCATCTGTAATAGAGTGACTATAGAACCAGTTTAATATAACACAATTTCATACAATATATAAAATTAGGGGGTCCCCGCTCCATCTCGCCATCAGTTTGGGGGTCCTTAGCCTGAAAAACGTTGAAGACCCCTGATGTAGGGCATCTAAGGCAGGAGCCTCTGCAGGAGGAGAAAACAGGTTAGTGACCACATCTATCTGGAAGTGGACGATAATGAACTTGTGAATCCCTAACCTGGTCTTATAGTTTAGTCCAAGCTCAGAGGGTGAGGTTGGTTCCAGCTGGTTGGCTGCCAATGCGACGCAGCGGGCACCACCTAGAGAGCCTCATACGCTGATGTTTCAGTGGTCGGAGGACAGGAAGGAGATCTGAGCTGAGCAGAGGAAGGAAGGCAGGATAATCCAGAGGGTGAAGATGTGATCGGTACAGGGAGCCGGGAGGTCAGAGATCCGGTGAGGTGCTGAGGGAGAATAGTTCAAGGTTCGGCACACAGACGGGCAGAGATCCGGGGTCAGGGAAACGGATAAGAACAGGAACAGGCAGGCTCAGAGGTCCAGAGGCAGAACAGGTCAGAATCAAATTACAAGATCGCAATAATAATTCTCACCGATGGCTCGAAATAATCTGGCACTGATGACTGGTCTGAAGGCTGGTTAAATAGAGACTAATGCAGGTGGATCAGATAAGCAGGAAATGAGAACTGGGCGGAGCTAAGCAGGTGTGTGAAATGAGTAATCAGACCAGATTATCATTGCCAAGATTTCTGTTTTGCAGTGAAACATCTGAACACTGAAGGCTTTAAATGTGAGATGCACACACCGTTTATTAGCAGCCTTCTGAATTTGGGTCGGAACCACTGAGATCTGAACACCTGGGTGTTCACAGGGATGAGAAGTGACAGAAACTAGAAAATACTGTAATAAATATGGCGAACAGAGGTGAAAATAAATAGGATAATAAAGATAAAATGACAAGAAATAAAAATGTTGGAAATGAGGAGACCTTCCTCCCTACAGTTTAGCCCCGGCGGTGACACAGAGGGGGGTTGTGTGTCGTCTTTATTAGTCTGCAGAGCAGCTCTAAACAAACACTGGTTGCATTGTTTTATTCTTTGGGCCATAAAATGACACTTCTCGCCTCGTTTAATGAAAGAGATGCAACAATGTGGAATATATACAGGTGCTGGTCATAAAATTAGAATATCATGAAAAAGTAGATTGATTTCAGTAATTCCATTTAAAAAGTGAAACTTGTATATTATATTCATACATTACATACAAACTCATATATTTCAGATGTTTATTTTGTTTAATTTTGATGATTACAAATGACAACAAATGAAAATCTCAAATTCATCATATCAGAAAATTAGAATATTGTGAACAGGTTCAAAATTGATGGCCCCTGGTGCCATACTCTAATCAGCTAATTAACTCAAACCACCTGCAAAAGCCTTTAAATGGTCTTTCAGTCTAGTTCTATAGGCTACACAATCATGGGGAAGACTGCTGACTTGACAGTTGTCCAAAAGACGACCATCGACACCTTGCACAAGGAGGGCAAGACACAAAAGGTCATCGCTAAAGAGGCTGGCTGTTCACAGAGCTCAGTGTCCAAGCACATTAATAGAGAGGCGAAGGGAAGGAAAAGATGTGGTCGAAAAAAGTGTACAAGCAAGAGAGATAACCGCACCCTGGAGAGGATTGTGAAACAAAACCCATTCAAAAATGTGGGGGAGATTCACAAAGAGTGGACTGCAGCTGGAGTGAGTGCTTCAAGAACCACCACACACAGACGTATGAAAGACATGGGTTTCTGCTGTCGCATTCCTTGTGTCAAGCCACTCTTGAACCACAGACAGCGTCAGAAGCGTCTTGCCTGGGCTAAAGAGAAACAGGACTGGACTGCTGGTGAGTGGTCCAAAGTCATGTTCTCTGATGAAAGTAAATTTTGCATTTCCTTTGGAAATCAAGGTCCCAGAGTCTGGAGGAAAAGAAGAGAGGCACTTCATCCACGTTGCTTGAAGTCCAGTGTAAAGTTTCCACAGTCAGTGATGGTTTGGGGTGCCATGTCATCTGCTGGTGTTGGTCCATTGTGTTTTCTGAGGTCCAGGGTCAACGCAGCCACATACCAGGAAGTTTTAGAGCACTTCATGCTTCCTGCAGCTGACCAACTTTTTGGAGATGCAGATTTCATTTTCCAACAGGACTTGGCACCTGCACACAGTGCCAAAGCTACCAGTACCTGGTTGAAGGACCATGGTATCCCTGTTCTTAATTGGCCAGCAAACTCTCCTGACCTTAACCCCATAGAAAATCTATGGGGTATTGTGAAGAAGAAGATGCAATACACCAGACCCAACAATTCAGAAGAGCTAAAAGCCACTATTAGAGCAACCTGGGCTATCATAACACCTGAGCAGTGCCACAGACTGATCGACTCCATGCCACGCCGCATTGCTGCAGTAATACAGGCCAAAGGAGGCCCAACTAAATACTGAGTGCTGTACATGCTCATACTTTTCATGTTCATACTTTTCAGTTGGCCAACATTTCTATAAATCCTTTGTTTTTATTGGTCTTCAGTAATATTCTAATTTTCTGATATGATGAATTTGAGATTTTCATTTGTTGTCATTTGTAATCATCAAAATTAAACAAAATAAACATCTGAAATATATGAGTTTGTATGTAATGTATGAATATAATATACAAGTTTCACTTTTTAAATGGAATTACTGAAATCAATCTACTTTTTCATGATATTCTAATTTTATGACCAGCACCTGTATATGGAAAGATCGGAGCTGCTTTAGTTTAGATCATTTCTAACTGTAGATCATTCCTGCTTCTTTTCCAAAACGAGTCAAGTGTGTAACCGGAGCTGTGGTTAGAGCCAGTTCCTAACCGGTTCTTAATGTTTTCCACAACTTTAGAGCCAGGTTGGAGCCATGTCTCATCCAGTTAATGGTTGATTTCAGCTTTAAAAACATAAAATGCAGCAATAGAGTTGATTCCTTCCTGCTATCATCACAGCCCCAACCCCTTTAAAGGGGAACAGAAAACCTCGCCTGTTCAGCCAGACCAACAATTCCCTCTAACGACCCCCCTTTCAGAGACATAGACAGGTATGGGGCATTGCAGGCTGACAAAGAAGCCAAACGACCCCCATTCCAAAGGGGGGGACCCGTTCGTTTTAATTTGCATGTTTTCTAAACTGCTGTATAAAGTCTGGAACTCAACGCTATTCCTGAAATGTTTAATTGGAAAAACTTCCTTGATGGGAAGAGAAACGTCTTCAAAATTGGAAACAAAGTCCAGTGGATTGTTTTTTTTTTTTTTTTTTTACTTTTTTTGGAACACATTTATAATATATATATAAAAAGAGAAAGGAGAAAGAAATAGGAGGGGGCTTCCCAGAACTATAGGAGCAGCAGAAGAACAGAAAAATTATTATTGTGAAAAATAAACATTTTATTAAAAAAATTTTAATTTCTGGATTTCTTTCTCTGGATTTCACTTTGTTTCCATAGGCTTAGTTTTTTTTATGTTTTTTTTTTTCAAACTTATTTTTTTATATTCTTTTTTTTTTCAAAAACAATGTTTTATAGATTTTGTATTTTCACATTTTATTTTTTGAAGTTTAATTTGTATTGATTTTTTTTTACAGATTATATATATATATATATATATATATATATATATATATATATATATATATATATATATATATAAAATCTGTAAAAAAAAAACTTGGTTAAAAATTAGAATATAAAAAATAGTACATCTCAAAACTGGCAAATCTAAAAAAAAAAAAAAAGAAAATAATATGAAGAATAAACAAAAATTAAAATTGAATAAAAGAGAAAAGTTACTCTTGCAAGCTTTTTTTAAATTAAATGTTTTTCAAAGTTTAATTTTTGGATTGTATTTTTTTCAAACTTTTATTTATGAAACATATTCAGTGCTTGCAACAACAAAAAAAGGAAGACATTTCACTCCATAGATACAGTGTAGGACCTTTAACTGAAAAAGATTTTCTCTTCTTTTTATTTGCTTTAGCATCCTTCCTATCTGCCAGATGAAATGTTTGGACTGTGACTCTGAAGATGTTTCTCACCTTTGGTTGCAGGTCAGCAGTGCAGCCGACTGCTTGGCTTTCATGCAAGGTGGGTGTGAGCTTAAGAAGATCCGACCCAACTCCAGGGTCTACTGTCGATTTTACACCTTGGATGCAGACCTGAGCTGCCTTCGCTGGGAGCCGTCCAAGAAGGACGCAGACCGGGCTAGACTGGACGTCTCCAGCATCAGGGAGGTCCGCACTGGGAAGAGCACAGAGACCTTTCTTCATAACGGCCCTCTGCTGGAACACCTCGCAGAGGAAGCAGCCTTCTCCATCATCCACGGCGATGAGTACCAGGTTACAGATCCACCATGTAGAAAAGAGAATGCTGCAAATATTTCACCATTTTCCTTTAACCAACCAGCTTCTGGAACCCCTCTCTGCAGTCTCTAGACTTGGTGGCATTGTCGGCTGATGTGGCCAACATCTGGGTGACGGGGTTGCGGTACCTCCTTGCCCATCCTTCAATCATTGGAGCGGCTGGAGGAGTAGGAGGAGGGCCGGGCGATGGAGGCAGCGTAGCGGTGGAAGGCAGCCTGGGGAGCAAGATGAGGAGCGAGTGGCTGGCGGCGGAGTTTGCGCTGGTCGACGAAGACGGCTACGGGATCGTATCAGAGGATGTAGCGGTGGCTACAGTCTGCAAACTCTGCCCTGGGATCAAAGAGGCCAAGGTAAGACGGGGGGGTTATAACCCTACATGGTTTATTTCTCTTCACCAAAGGGATGATGTAGTTCATTCAAACTGGTGGGTCCTCAGTTTAAACAGACCGAAACAATCAGCTGAGCTCCTCTTCTGTGCGTTGATGAGCCTGTGCCTAGAGCACAGCCGTTCAAGTCTTCTGGGATTTTGCTCATCAGAATAAATTACAAGATGATTTAAAAGATCAGGCCTTAATTTGATGAAATTAGCATTTTACTTCTTTTGGGAGGAGAAGTAAGCAGCCTTCTACAATTCTGGATGATAACTTCCTAAGACTTCCCTTTCTTAGTTTTATAACTAATGATAACAAGGTCAAATCTTACTTTGCATCATCTTAAAACTATTTATTTTGGTATGTGGTGAACAACAAGTTGGGGCAGCACCGAGTCCAACCGCAAAGAAATTAATTGTCTGGATGAAACTTATTATTTTGATGGTTATTTTTTTTAAATATCAACAGGCCATAAGGAATATGAGCTTGAATGAAACAAAACTAACGAGTCTGTTGTTAAAATGTGAAAAGTAGAAAGTAGAGATAATTGCAAAAAAATGTGAGGTGTAGAAGTAAAAGGTTTTCTAAAGAAATATTTAATCCAGTAAAGTATAGATAGCTATGGAAGCCTGTTTATACGTTTATCTAATTTTAATGAGATATTGTCTCAAAATAATGAGACGCTATCTCATTATTTTGAGTTACTATTGCGATATGATAAGTAATCATGTTTAATTTTTTTTTAACAGAGTGGCAGAAATTAGTCAACATTTCTATTTAAAGTCGTAGGGAAGGCAATTTTAAATGTCAAATCATTCTGGCTTAAACATGTATATAAATGTTCTCGTTATCGGATGATAATGTCCCAAAATTTCTATTTAAAAAAAAATCCTGTCTTAAAATCTGTGTTTTTTTCCCCGTTATTTCATGCAGGCCAGTTAGTTGCGAGGCAAGGGCTCAAACATGTACGGCTGGAAGCCTTCTACACCAAACCAAGCTTCTGCCGCCCTGGCGTCCTCTTCCACAACATCTTCGTCCCCGCTTTCCTCCTCTAAATAAAAAATGGATGACGGAGGAGACTCATCCACGACCTCCGACACTAAACTCTCCTCCTCTTGCATGTTTCCGCTGTCCATAGCGTTCCTTGACAGCGTCGTTTCTAAGTCACCAATTTAGTGCTACTTGGTCCCAATGGAATTTCCCATTGGGAACCTACTAGCGCTAAATTGCTAACCGGTTAGCAACTTAGCGCTAGTAGGTTCCCAATGGAATTTCCCATTGGGAACCTACTAGCACCAAGTTGCTAACTGGTTAGCAAGATGCTTCAGATAAACCGGCCACAATCAAACTTGCTTGCTAACCTTCCGCCACAGCAATTCCGCCCCCTTGATAAACGACAAATCAGATTCACTTTACTCACTGTGTAAACTCGGAAAATTCGGGAGAATTTGGAAATGCGGTTGGAACAGCTGCTTCCCTACGACTTTAAATAAGGAAACAAAGTATTTGTACTATGTTAGATGAATACCAATGATTTGGCAATATTTGTTTTGAACCCTAACTCACAAAAAAAGTGTTTATTTCTAGTTTGATGTAGCATCATTTTCCATGATAAGCCAATTTGTTAGACGTCCTTTCTCAATCTCTCCATCTATGGCTCCGATCTGGCTGAGTGGGCAGGGATTAACAGGAGAGGCATGTGAGACTAAGACGGACGGTAGGGTCCACATGGTAAAAAGGTCTATACCATCATGACATCAAATAATTTAAATAACTGCAGATTATTGTCTGTTTTAGAAACAGATTCCTCCTGTTTGCTTGAACGAATGTTAAGAACCTATAATACCGTCCAATTCAGGAGATACAGAAACAGATTGCAATAATGAGTTAAAACAATATTTGTCAGACTCTGCGTTGGTTCAGGCTGGATGAGGAGATAACCAGAAGAGACATACCTTTGGCATGATTGTATCTGACAAAAAAGTGCTACAAGTTCAGGCAGAGGGTCATAGAGGAAACAAAAGAGAGAGGAAACATCAGAAAAATTGTATCAACCGCTTCATGTCCTCATTGACAGGCAGGCGCAAAGACATTTTTGGAGGCAGGTGCTAGAGTTAAAAAAAATAAGAACTTTCCTTTAACCTAATACCGAGGCTACAACAAGTAAGCTAGTAACTAGTAGGAGATCATTAAAGTATCTCTGCTTCTGTCTCCTTGAACCCCAGTGGGCCTCAGCAGATGGCCGCTCACACTGAGCCTGGTTCTGCTGGAGGTTTCTTCCTGTTCAAAGGGAGTTTTTCCTCTCCACTGTCGCTACAAGCATGCTTAATGTGAGGGATTGCTGATGAGTCAATGAGTCGATGCAATCAGCTGGTTTTCCTTTGATTTTTAACATTATTGTTTAACCTTTTTTTAACCTTAAACAGGGAGTCCTGGCTAAGAGGCAGCAAAGTTGCATAATAAACAGAGATACATTAAATTAAATGACAGGTATATAAAAAACATATCAAATAAAACAATCACAGATCATTGAGGCTGCTTCCAATTCTTTCCCTTTCAATTTAAAACCATTTAAAGATAAAACAAAATGGTAAATGGCATGTACTTATATAGCATCTTTTTTCAAGTTAGGAGACTTGACCAAAGCGCTTTACACCACATTCATTCACCCATTCACGCACACATTCACAGTGGCAAGCTACATTGTAGCCACAGCTGCCCTGGGGCTCACTGACAGAAGCGGGGCTGCCGTACACTGGCACCACCGGGCCCTCTGACCACCATCAGTAGACAATAAAGGTGAAGTGTCTTGCCCAAGGACACAACGACACTGAAAGTCGGAGTCGGGGCTTGAACCGTCACTCCTAAAGGCTTTCCGTACCTAGTTCTGTGCGGGCAAAAGGAACAGTGAGCAACAGCTGATTGTTGGATCTTAGGGCAGAAGAAGAAGATAGAAACCTTTATATCAGTTTGACTGGATGATCTGGTGAACTGAAAATTGTCAGGGTTTAGTTTGGTTTGGAGGACCCAAATGCAGAGGCAGACAGGCTGAGGAGATTTCTGGGTAGTTTAATGGGGCAAAAACAGCAACAAAGGCAGGAATGCAAAAATCCAACTAATAATCAAAAGCAAACCAGAACTATGGAGACATCTGGGGAAAACCAAACACGAGGAGCCAGGGAGAGACGAGGAACGTGGACAACAGCATGGGAGGACAGCAAAGACAAGGAACCAACAAAGAGTGAGAGCAGAGGGAGAGCATATATAGGAGAGAGAGAGACAAAGGGAGGGCTAACGAGCAGACAAGGAACAGGTGTGAGAGGAGACAACGAGGGAGCCAAGGGGAAAGGAACATACACACACACAAGAGGGCAAAAGTGGACAACAGAAAAACATGAGAACTAATATAAATCTAGAAATACAACAAAACTGGAATTAGGCCAATAAATCTAGAAAACAAGGAGCAAAGAAAAGAACAGCAGAACCAAGACCATGACAGTGCCCCCCACTTAAGGGCGGATCCCAGATGCCCAAAATGTCCAGAAACAAAAAATAACCCACCCTGGGTGGGCGGAGGGGGAACCAGGAAGGAGGGCACGAAATACAAAACCAAACGCAGAGTCCAAACAAAAACCAAAACAACCCACCCAAGGTGGGCGAGGGCAAACAAAGTCTCTGGAGGGCGGCCGTGTGGCCCGAGGCCAGGAAGAGTCTCTGGAGGGCGGCCGTGTGGCCCGAGGCCGGGAAGAGTCTCTGGAGGGCGGCCGTGGGGCCCGAGGCCAGGAAGAGTCTCTGGAGGGCGGCCGTGGGGCCCGAGGCCAGGCAGAAGCTCAGGAGAACGTCGACGGCGACGCCGTCTCTGACGAAGGAGGCTCTCTGGAGGAGGCCGGCGGCAACGCCGTCTCTGAAGGAGGACCTCTGGAGGAGGCCGGCGGCGACGCCGTCTCTGACGAAGGAGGGCCTCTGGAGGAGGCCGGCGGCGACGCCGTCTCTGACGAAGGAGGGCCTGTGGAGGAGGCCGGCGGCGACGCCGTCTCTGATGAAGGAGGGCCTCTGGAGGTCGCCGACTGCGGCACAGGAACAGCCTCAGAGGGGGCCGCCGACTGCGGCACAGGAACAGCCTCAGAGGGGGCCGCCGACTGCGGCACAGGAACAGCCTCAGAGGGGGCCGCCGACTGCGGCACAGGAACAGCCTCAGAGGGGGCCGCCGACTGCGGCACAGGAACAGCCTCAGAGGGGGCCTGGAGCGCCCGCTGAGGGGCCGTGGAGGCTTGGAGCGCCCCCTGAGGGGCCGTGGAGGCTTGGAGCGCCCCCTGAGGGGCCGTGGAGGCTTGGAGCGCCCGCTGAGGGGCCGTGGAGGCTTGGAGCGCCTGCTTAGCCTTATTTCAGAGAGCCTTTTAGTAGTCTGCTCAGGGAAATCAGGATGACTCTGAACGGGCTCAGGGGTCTCAGGCGCTAGGCTAAACGGCCCACTAATGGGCTCAGGAGTCTCTGGTACTGGGGAAACCCCCCCAATAATGGGCACTGGAGCTAGGGAATCTGGCCCTCTACTGGGCTCTGGAGCAAGGGAAACTGGCCCGTCAATGGGCTCTGGAGCTAGGGAAACTGGCCCGTCAATGGGCTCTGGAGCTAGGGAAACTGGCCCGTCAATGGGCTCTGGAGCTAGGGAAACTGGCCCGTCAATGGGCTCCGGAGCTAGGGAAACTGGCCCGTCAATGGGCTCCGGAGCTAGGGAAACCGGCCCGTCAATGGGCTCCGGAGCTAGGGAAACCGGCCCTCTAATGGGCTCTGGAGCTGGGGAAACCGGCCCTCTAATGGGCTCTGGAGCTGGGGAAACTGGCCCTCTAATGGGCTCTGGAGCTAGGTAAACCGGCCCGCTAAAAGGCTCTGGAGCTAAGGACACTGGCCCGCTAAAGGGCTCTGGAGCTAGGGAAACTGGCCCGTCAATGGGCTCTGGAGCTAGGGAAACTGGCCCGTCAATGGGCTCTGGAGCTAGGGAAACTGGCCCGTCAATGGGCTCTGGAGCTAGGGAAACTGGCCCGTCAACGGGCTCTGGAGCTAGGGAAACTGGCCCGTCAATGGGCTCCGGAGCTAGGGAAACTGGCCCGTCAATGGGCTCTGGAGCTGGGGAAACCGGCCCTCTAATGGGCTCTGGAGCTGGGGAAACTGGCCCTCTAATGGGCTCTGGAGCTAGGTAAACCGGCCCGCTAAAGGGCTCTGGAGCTAGGTAAACCGGCCCGCTAAAGGGCTTGGGATGTGCTGGCTGACAGGGAACTGATGGAGGTGGAAGGAAAGGGAATAGATCCTCCCTTTGCCCATAAAAGTAGTCCCATAACTCTGACTCCTCAATATGTGGTGCTCTGACTGCAGTGGGTGTAATCATGGTGACTGACTTTAAACCTCTAACTCGAGGAGCTAACTGCTGATCATGGAGGTGACGGCCAAGGCCATAGGGGAAACTGACCTGAAGAGTGGGATTGAAGCAGGCGTCAGGCTGACCCGCCGGAGAGGGAGTGGAGGCGTCAGGCTGACCCGCCGGAGAGGGAGTGGAGGCGCCAGGCTGACCCGCCGGAGAGGGAGTGGAGGCGCCAGGCTGACCCGCCGGAGAGGGAGTGGAGGCGCCAGGCTGACCCGCCGGAGAGGGAGTGGAGGCGCCAGGCTGACCCGCCGGAGAGGGAGTGGAGGCGTCAGGCTGACCCGCCGGAGAGGGAGTGGAGGCGCCAGGCTGACCCGCCGGAGAGGGAGTGGTGGCGCCAGGCTGACCCGCCGGAGAGGGAGTGGAGGCGTCAGGCTGACCCGCCGGAGAGGGAATGGATTTCTTCCCCCGGCGGCGCTTACGCCTGGAGGAGGCAGACGGCATGGGGGGACCAACAGCTGGTGAAGGTGGAGGAACCGGACTGGAGGCGATTGAGAGCAGAGTTGGAAGGAGGTGAAGTGATGGTTTGGGTGGTGGAGGACTGTTGAAGAGTTGGGCGCTGGCTGCTTGGTGGTTCCACTCCAACTCTTCAAACAGTTCAGACAGCACTGGGGGAGAAATGAGTTTGGAGTTTGTGAGGAGAATTTGCCTTAGTTGGCCAGCTGCACTCACCCTCTCCTCAGGCGGGCTGAGACTGGCAATAGTATCCAGAGCCTTTCCCAGCTTCAGGAAAAAATCCCTCAGGGTGTCCAGACTGGGCTCTGCTGGGTCCATTGTGGTTGGTTCCTATTGTCAGGGTTTAGTTGTGGTTTGGAGGACCCAAATGCAGAGGCAGACAGGCTGAGGAGATTTCTGGGTAGTTTAATGGGGCAAAAACAGCAACAAAGGCAGGAATGCAAAAATCCAACTAATAATCAAAAGCAAACCAGAACTATGGAGACATCTGGGGAAAACCAAACACGAGGAGCCAGGGAGAGACGAGGAACGTGGACAACAGCATGGGAGGACAGCAAAGACAAGGAACCAACAAAGAGTGAGAGCAGAGGGAGAGCATATATAGGAGAGAGAGACAAAGGGAGGGCTAACGAGCAGACAAGGAACAGGTGTGAGAGGAGACAACGAGGGAGCCAAGGGGAAAGGAACATACACACACACAAGAGGGCAAAAGAGGACAACAGAAAAACATGAGAACTAATATAAATCTAGAAATACAACAAAACTGGAATTAGGCCAATAAATCTAGAAAACAAGGAGCAAAGAAAAGAACAGCAGAACCAAGACCATGACAAAAATGCCTTGAGGTGTCGTGTTGTGAATTGGCGCTATAAGAATAAACTGAATTGAATTGAATAAAAATCAATAAATTAATCATTCAATTGTTAGGTGAAAGAAATTACAAATATTAAAACCAGAGAACAGATCTGACTGAATGGGAACATTTTGGCTGTGCTTCCTCAAACAGACTATATGCTCTTTGCTTTCCCACAGGTCCGCCTACGGTTTAAGGAGATCCAGCGCAGCAAGGAGAAGCTCACCTCCCATGTGACACGGGAGGAGTTCCAGGAGGCCTACTGTGAGCTTTGCACGCGACCTGATGTTTACTTCCTCCTGGTTCAACTGTCCCAGGACCGGGAGTGCCTTGACCCTCAGGACCTCCGCCTCTTCTTGGAGACAGAGCAAGGATTGTCTCTAGCTACGACCGAAGGCTGCTGGGAGCTCCTGATGCGCTACGAGCCCTCGGCCCAGGGCAGGGAGAGGGGCCTGCTGGGTTTGGATGGATTTGCTCGGTACCTGCAGTCACCCGAGTGTCAGCTGCTGGACCCGGAGCACCTGGGGGTTTGCCAGGACATGAACCTGCCTCTGTCCCACTACTACATCAGGTCTGAAGGTTCACATACCTTGAATGATTAAGATCCTTAGGGTAGAATAAAGATTCACTAACAGCAGTGTCCTGCAGAACGGCTCTGAACTGCAGAACGTTAGCTTGCATGACGGAGCTGGTCATGCAAGCTAACGCTAACTCAACTGCAGAAAAATGGAAGTAATAAACTCACCGTTGAGTTAGCGTTAGCGTTAGCTTGCATGACCGGCTCCGTCATGCTGGTTTTCCTTCCGTATGAGCGCCACCTGTGTCACGTCACGTGACTAAGAAAACGTAACAGGATTGGCTGGGTGTTGGACGCCACAATCCATTGCTAATGTCTGTGACCTGAAGTAACCCTTCCCTTTTTACACTGAATTTAGACGCCGAATTTAAGACGGTGAAATAGAGCCAGTTGAATCTCAGGAGGCTGAAAATATTGAGTTTGAATTTTTTTATATGCAGATTTTTTTTAACACTGAAAAATTAAACTGAAAAATAAGTATTGAAAATGTAACACTTTAAAATAGTAATGTGAATTTTTAGCTTGAAGAGAAAATAACAAATGAAATTTCAGCTGTGTAGAAATAATGACAATACATTTTTTAGGTTAAAAATGTGTTCTGAATATATTTAAACACTGAAACAGTAAGTACAAACATACAACATTAAAATTTCAGTGGCATTTTTAATTCAAATCCCAGCGACACAGATTTACTTCCATACTAACCAGAGGTGGAAAAAGTACTTAAAAATTGTAATTGAGTAAAAGTATCTTTACTTTGCCTAAAGTTGACTTAGAGTAAAAGTAAAATTACCCATCTCAAAATTGACTCAAGTAAAAGTACAAAATTACTTCATTTAAATTGTAATTTGAGTAAAAGTTACTTAGTTACTTTGGGTAATTTAATGCAAAAAAAAGGATGAGTCATGAATCGAATTGAGCACAAGGTATTTTAATCGATTTCGAGGCGTATTTCAGTGACATCCACACTGCAAAAGATCAGCTGGTCTAAAGAACATACTTCCTCACAGCACAAGGACAGTCACAACCTGAACCATAAAGTGCAAACTATTTTCAATCATACTGTCCAACAGACAACACCATGATAGGAATAAAGAAATTTAAACTACATTTTAAAGTATTCAAAATGCACACAAAATTAAATGCCAAAAAGATACCAGAATGTGTTTCCTCTTCGTTCTTTTCCTCATCCAGACTCTCTAAATGGTGATTAGCAACTGCCATCTTCCAAAGCGCAGCACTGGATTATGAGACAATGCAAAGGGTAATGGCAAGGCAGCGCTACGCAAGTTTAAATTTCCGGCCGCATAAAATTTTTTCACCATCAGTATTTTTTATTTTGTTTTTACTCAGTAATATGACGGGGGTTTAAATGTAGCGAAGTAAAACTACTTAGGTTAAAATTTACTCGAGTAAAAGTAAAAATTACATATTTCAAAAACTACTCAGAAAATTACAAATTACTTGTAAAAAGTACTCAATTACAGTAACGTGAGTAAATGTAATTCATTACTTTCCACCCCTGATGCTAACCATGATGTAGCTCTATTTCTAGTGTGATCCAGCATTCAGTTCTGGGAGAGACTACTTAGGAGAGAACTGAAGGAGACTATTTTTTTGAGTTCCATTAAAAAACTAAAAAGGATAGTATCATCGTTTAGAGGGACTGTTTCAAGTTTCAATACCAAATGTCACATTCAATGTCAATAGAAACTGTCACTGATTGAGCTCCAAACATTTGTAGTTCTTAAGGTTCCTGAATTCAACAGCTGGGAATCTTTTTTCCAGGCACGTAAACTTAGTCAACATTCCGTACTCCCGGTCATTTAAGCCACGCCCCAATGCTGAAGGGCAACCAGTTTTAAACACAAAAACAAATCTTGAAGTAAAAAGTTATTTTAAACATTTCTTTTCAGTTTGATTTTTTTTTTTTCAGTTCAAATCCTTTAAATTTAAGAACAGATATTTGCTGTTACCTCCTCCTCTTCCCATGTTCGGATAACGGATTGAGCAGAGCTCTGTGACGCGGTCAAAGCTCGGGATGATTTTTCCAGATCACATCTGCTTGTTCACTAATGTTTTCTAACAACCCTCTGAGGCCAGAAACACAACGTCTGCATCCGTACTGAGGTTGAATTGCACAGGGTTGGACTTTAGCTACACATCAGGTGCCTTTGATTGACTATACTAATGTTCACTGTAAAAAATATCTAAAAATGAGTAAAAATGTCTTAAATTAAGTGTATTTTGCCTTCATTTGAGCAGGTAAATGAGATAATCTGCCAATGGAATGAGCATTTTTACTCTTAAAATAAGTGTAAAATGAGATAATTAGATATTATGCTCTTGAAATAAGAGACTGCAGTTGTTTTTTTTCTTGTTTTAAATGTAAGTTGCCTTACTCCCTGGGAAAGCGTCCCACTTACCTGATTAATTCAAGAAAAAATGCACTTATTTTAAGAAAAATTGACTCACTTAGATATCATTTTTTTGCAGTGTTGTATTGGTGTATCAGATAAAATCTGAATAAATTATAATAGATTTTATAACTGTAACGTGTGAAAACTAACTCCATTTTCTGTGTGATTTCGGCTGTTCATGCAGCTCAAACACCAATCAGGCTGAAAACAATGCACACAGCTCAGCTGGTTTAGAGGTTGGTAATGCATGTATGTGTAGGCCCTCTTTTTTTAACCCACATACAGGATTGTTTTCAGATCGCTTAGCATGCTCACTCTGTTATCTGCACGGATCACCTGATTCCTGCAAACCAGGTCCCAGTTGAACAGGAATGTCCCAGAAGCAGCCATGCTGCATTAAAGTGCAGGTATATATCTGGCAAACCCATGTCTGCGGTAAAGTGATTTGTTTTTTTTTTGGACATAAAGAAATATCAGAAAACCATCCAGTGCTCCTCTGCTGCTGTTGGAGTTCATTCAGTGGCTGCTTTCTGCTCATCCACCAGATGGTTCTGCTTAGGGACTGCTGTGTGCAAGCCACCACTAAATCCAATAAATGAAACCGGTATGCACATTAAGGGTTGCATATTGTGCTAGTTTTATGTTACACGCTATGTTAGGTCATCTGAAGCTGCCTGTCATCTTGCAAAGAGCAGAGCTGTGCAACGAACAGTCGGGTAGAACCAGCTAATGTTTTCACTCTCACTTTGAAAATTGCCTAAAACTACACCCCAGACTTAGGTTATCTTTTTATAGGACAGCCTTCAAGCTCGACACTTAGAGATTTCTAGAGAGCAGGTCTCCTCTGGCATAATTGTTATGTTAAATACTTCTAAGATCCATGACTGTGCTTTCATAGCAGCTTCTTCTAGCATCACACAGCCACAAAAAGAAAAGATTGATGTCTGTACAGGAAAGAAAAAAATAGAGGCAGAGGATTTTTCAAAAGTCAGATTGATTAATATATTTATACATTTAGGTGTTTTGTGCAGCACTTCGGTTATCATTTAGCTTTTTTTTAAAGTGCTCTAGAAATAAAATGCTTCAACATGAAGACATTTTCATGACTTGAAGAGTTTTAATGTTTATTGAGCCGTTCACTTGATCTAACATACAAGTAGGAGGCTTAGTTGGAGATAACAGTTATGTTAACTCTGAAACTTCAACTGGAGCAAAGCAGTCTAAACCCGGATCAGATGCTATGGTTACCTCAGATGCTGCCTCACCTTCCAGAGACAAACCAATCATAGTAAGAGGAGTGCTAATTATCTTATTTTTGATTAAATCAATCTTATTTATAAAGAATCCTATAAAATCATTACTGCTAAGAGCAGGTGGAATGGACGGTTCCACAGAGCTATGGCTCTGGGTGAGTTTGGGAACTGGATTAAAAAGATATCTAGCATTATTCATATTCTCCTCTATTAATGAGGAGAAGTATGCTGCTTTTGCTTTACGAAGGGTCCTCTTATGCAGCAGTGAACTATTTTTCCAGACTACGTAGGATTCCTGTAGGCATGTTGCTGCAGAGTGCACAGCTCTGCAATAAACCAAGGAGCCAGTTTTTTCTTTATCAAAGGGGCTAGATTGTCTAAGGCCCAGAGAACTATTAACCACATTAACAAAGTCTTCAATTTGTGAAGGGGAATAAATTAAATGGTTGCCCTCTGTCGTATTGTTTAGTGATGAAGCAGAGATAAAGGTGAAACAGATTCTTTAAAATTTAGAACTGCACTATCTGAAGATGATCTGCTAAAGTGAAATCTTCTTTTCGGGGAGGAGAACTCTGGTAAAGTAATCCTGAAGGTTATTAAAAAGTGGTCAGAGATGACAGGGTTGTGAGGAAATACTGTTATTTCTTCACATTCAGTGACATGTGTCAGAACAAGGTACAAACTATGAAGGTGAGAATGTGTGGGACTATTTACATTTTGAACAAAGCCAATAGTGTCTAAGATAGCATTAAAGGCTGCATCAAAGCTATCACCTTAAATGTTAGCATGGATTCAACACCAAATCAGATAGAAATTCTGAAAACTCATCTAAAAATTCAGAGTAAGGACCTGATGGACGATACAAAGTTTCTCGCTGCTGTTCATAGCGACTGAAAGTTAATATAAAGCAATTTTTAGGTTTGTGGGAAAACTTAGTTACAAAAAATAAGATTAAATATATTTTACTGGAAGGTTTGACACTTTGTAGATAATATTCATTATCATATATTCATCATAGTTCAGTAAGAAAATATTTTATTAGGGTAATTGTGATCAGAACACCTATGGAACCTTTTTTGTATATAACTCACCAAAATGTACGGTGGCCCTGAAGTGCAAACTGCAACTACAAATCTAAAAGCGCAACTACATTAAGAAAAACAAAACTACATTAACCTACCGGAAAAGGTAGGTACCAGTGGGAAACATGAGACATTGCTGATTGGACGACGGCGCCGTTTGACCCTTGAACCAGAAGTCATTCTGCCTGCTGCGACTTTTGAAAACATGGATATTGTCGGCGCCCCAAACATAGCTGCCGTTATCCGGGAATATTTTGAATCAGGACATACGTACGAGGTGATACTGGATATGCTCGAGACTAATCACGAAATTTCAGTTAGTTTGCTTACACTGAAGACACACTTAAAAGAAGCTGGACTGTTCAGACGACGCAACTTCCGGTTCAAGGGTCAAACGTTGCCGTCGTCCAATCAGCGATGTCTCATGTTTCCCACTGGTACCTACCTTTTCCGTTAGGTTAATGTTGTTTTGTTTTCCTTAATGTAGTTGCGCTTTGCTTTATGTAGTTGCGATTTCCTTAAAGGAATAGTACACCCAAAACATGATTAGCCTTCATTTTCTACTCACCCCCATGCTGAACAACACTCTGGAGTACTTTTTTGATATCTCAAATGCATCTGGAGATCTGGGAGGCTTCTTGCTGTCTGCTGACATTCAAATAACGGAGGTCTTTTGTGCCCGAGACAGAAAGGTCCATAAAAGTCCACAAAAACGTGTCAATATTCCTCCATACTGCTCGTCCAATGTATTCCAAGTGTCCTGAGTGGGTATCATCCAGAATTTACTCGAAACAAAGTCATTTAGAATGTTTTTAGAGAATAAACAGTAGTGTGTAGGATTTCCTGAAAGCGCGCATATGCGCGTTCACGACGCTACGGAAGCCGGCAGACCAAACCAGCGCATTCAGCTCGGCAAAGAACTCATGCTCTTCCTCAACACTGAAGTCCTCAGACATTTTTCTTTCGTTGTTTCTTTCTTTGCACAGGTAAACAGCACATTTCTTCTTCTACGCTTGCATTATTGGCAGAGCAGACGCTGAATGCGCACTTTCATCTGGTTGGGTCTGCCGGCTTCCGTAGCGTCATGAACGCGCATGTGCGCGCTTTCAGGAAATCCTATACACTACTGTTTATGCTCTAAAAACATTCTAAATGACTTCGTTTCGAGTAAATTCTGGATGCTACCCACTCAGGACACTTGGAATACATTGGATGAGCAGTATGGAGGAATATTGACACGTTTTTGTGGACTTTTATGGACCTTTCTGTCTCGGGCACAATAGACCTCCATTATTTGAATGTCAGCAGACAGCAAGAAGCCTCCCAGATCTCCAGATGCATTTGAGATATCAAAAAAGTACTCCAGAGTGTTGTTCAGCATGGGGGTGAGTAGAAAATGAAGGCTAATCATGTTTTTGGTGTACTATTCCTTTAATGTAGTTGCGCTTAGGGCTGGGCGATAATTCAATAACGATATATATCGATCGATAGACGTGTGGCGCAATAGAAAAAAAGAGGGTCGATAAAAGTTCGATAAAAAATAAACGCAGTTTTCCTTCCTTCTCATTGTAGCCTAGCATGTAGGTTTATGCTAGTCACTGCTTCCTCCCAACCAATCACAATCGCGGACCCAGACATGCCGTCACCAAGCGCCGCCCTCTCAAACCACAACACAGAGCACATGAAGATGTCGCAGCAAGGAGAGGCGGAGGAAATTGTTTCAAAGAAAGGTTTTTGTAGTTCGGCAGTCTGGCAGTATTTCGGTCATGGCAAGTCGGACCAAAAACAAACCACAGTCATCTGGAAAATGTGTCGGGAACCAGTGAAAACCAAGTCTGATAACGCAACCAACTTTTTTTTTTTTTTTTATCATCTCAGCCGCTCACACCCGCAGGAGTACGAGCTGTGTAGGCCCCTGTGTAGGCTCTCTTCCGAGGAATCTTCGGAAAATATATATATATTTTCAGTTCTGGGCAGTTTCCCACGTAGTTCTAACAATTGAGATAAAAATGCTGAGGGGCCAGAAACTTCAAAGTAATAACTCAGGTTAAAGCAGAAAACGGGGGCGGCGGCGGCGGTGGGGGGGCATTTATTTATTTTTTATATTTATTTTGGTCACTTTTCTGATCACTGTAGTTTATTCTTTGTCAGTATTTAATAACATAACTCAGGTCTCTTAAGTTATTTTTCTTTAAAAGAATTCTGTTATGGTTAAAAAAGTTGGTTAAATAAAGATTTAATTCGAAGTCTGTGTTTGTATTTTTTATTAAAATTAATTCATTTAGCAATATTATAAAAAGTCCAGGCAGAGCTGCACATAAAATATGGTTTCAAATCTTTTCAATAATTATCGATATCGATCAATATGCATTTCTTTTTATCGATAAGCTTTTTTTCTATATCGCCCAGCCCTATTTGCGATTTCCTTAATGTAGTTGCACTTTGCTTTATGTAGTTGCGATTTCCTTAATGTAGTTGCGCTTTGCTTTATGTAGTTGCGATTTCCTTAATGTTGTTGCGCTTTGCTTTATGTAGTTGCGATTTCCTTAATGTAGTTGCACTTTTAGATTTGTAGTTGCAGTTTGCACTTCAGGGCCACCGTAAAAATTTCTAAAAAAAAATCTTCTACTTTACCACTTTTGGCTCTTTTGTCTCAATATCAAAAGCCCAATATATTTCATAATTAATCCGTAATGGAAGAAGAAGGGTGGAAAAAAATTGCATTTCAATCCTTTGAAGACTTGTGTCTCTCCTTCCAGTACGTCGTACCGCTCCTACCTGCTTGATGACCAGGTCCATGGAAGAGCGGACCTCGGAGGGCTGACCAAGGCTCTGCAATCAGGCTGTCGATGCCTGGAGCTGGGCGTCACAGACGGTCCTGAGGGCGAGCCTCTGCTTGGGGTCGACTACGGGCCTGATATTTCCCGCCACCATCATCACCATCACCACCATGCACCCGTTACTATCCGCTCGGCGCTGGAGGTGGTGAATAAATACGCCTTCCTGACGTCGCAGTACCCACTCCTGCTTTACTTGTGTCACCGGTGCTCACCAGGTCAGCAGCGCACCATGGCACACCACCTCAAGAAAGTGTTTGGATCCCGGCTCTATAAACCCGAGGCCCTACATGTGAGCCTGGGAGGGAGGGCGACCACCCTTCCCTCCCCGGAGCAGCTGAAGGGGCGGATCCTTATTGTTGGGAAAAAGCTCCCTCCAGAGGAGGACGGCTCTGACGGGGAGGTATCAGAGGAGGATGAGGAGATAGGAGGAGGGGGGCCCCTGGCTGGAAGAAGGATGACCATCCCCGGGGAGGAGGAACTAGGTGTGGTCTTGGTAGTGCCTCCTCCTTCTCAGCCCAGGAAGCTAACCCTCCATAAAGACCTGTCGGACCTGGTTGCTGTTGTTCGGACAAGCAGCCGCAGCTTTTACGCTCAGAGAGGAAGTAACAAGCAGAGTCAGTCGCCCCCCAGCAGCCCCTCGTCCCCCGGATCACCCCTTCCCCCTGACATGCCTTACTGGACCATGTGCTCTCTGGGCGAAGGAGAGGCTGGACGGCTGACGAGCGAAAGCCCAGAGGACCTCGTTCAGTTCACCAAACGCACCCTAACCAGGGTACGACCCAGCTCAGTGCGCCTGGACTCCAGTAACCCCAACCCACAAGGATACTGGAAAGGAGGGGTCCAGCTAGTGGCCTTAAACCAGCAGACTCCAGGCGCCATGCTGGACCTCCATCGAGGCCGCTTCTCACAGAACGGGGGTTGCGGCTACGTCCTACGGCCAGCTGTGATGAGGGACGCAGTTTCGTACTTCAGTGCCCACACCCATGGCTGCGTGCCGGGAGTCCCACCCCAAACTCTGCGCATTAAGGTCCAGAAGCTACTCTGCTTTTTCACAGTTATTTAAGTTAATGAATTAATGTTTCTTTACAAACGCTTCCGATTTGCTGTTAAACTATTTTGATTACTATTTGATTTCACTTTATGGTGGATTTCTTCACGCTCTGACATTTCTCTGGTTTTCTTCAGACCTGTTGAACTAAACATGAGCAGCTCTGTGTTTTGTCGTGTAGGTCATCAGTGCCCACAACCTGCCAAAGCCTCAGGGGTCCGGGGCCAAGGGGGAAGTCATTGACCCGTACGTAGTGTTGGAGGTGCACGGCGTCCCGGCCGACTGCGCCGAGCAGCGGACGCGCACCGCCGCTCAGAACCAGGATGAGCCGATGTTTGATGAGACATTTGAGTTTCAGGTAAGAGGACTTGATGGTTATGCCCTGGTGATGGTCTGTCCCGGTGACGGTTTGTCCCTCCGTCGGTCTGTCCCGGTGACAGTCTTTCCTGCTGTCGGTCTGTCCCGCTGTCGGTCTGTCCCGGTGACGGTCTTTCCCGGTGACAGTCTTTCCCGGTGTCGGTCTTTCTCGCTGTCGGTCTGTCCCGGTGACAGTCTTTCCCGGTGTCGGTCAGTCCCGGTGTTGGTCTGTCCCAATGTCAGTCTGTCCGGCTGTCGGTCAGTCCCGCTGTCGGCCTGTCCGGCTGTCGGTCTGTCCTGCTGTCGGTCTGTCCGGCTGTCGGTCTGTCCCGCTGTCGGTCTGTCCGGCTGTCGGTCTGTCCCGCTGTTGGTCAGTCCTGCTGTCAGTCTGTCCGGCTGTCGGTCAGTCCCGCTGTCGGTCTGTCCGGCTGTCGGTCTGTCCCGCTGTCGGTCTGTCCGGCTGTCGGTCTGTCCCGCTGTCGGTCTGTCCGGCTGTCGGTCAGTCCCGGTGTTGGTCAGTCCTGCTGTCAGTCTGTCCGGCTGTCAGTCAGTCCCGCTGTCGGTCTGTCCTGCTGTCGGTCTGTCCTGCTGTCGGTCTGTCCGGCTGTCGGTCTGTCCCGCTATCGGTCTGTCCGGCTGTCAGTCAGTCCCGCTGCCAGTCTGTCCCGCTGTCTGTCTGTACCGCTGTCGGTCAGTCCTGCTGTCAGTCTGTCCGGCTGTCGGTCTGTCCCGCTGTCGGTCAGTCCTGCTGTCAGTCTGTCCGGCTGTCAGTCAGTCCCGCTGTCGGTCTGTCCGGCTGTCGGTCTGTCCGGCTGTCGGTCTGTCCCGCTGCCAGTCTGTCCCGCTGTCTGTCTGTACCGCTGTCGGTCAGTCCTGCTGTCAGTCTGTCCGGCTGTCGGTCTGTCCCGCTGTCGGTCTGTCCCGCTGTCGGTCTGTTCTGGTGTCGGTCTGTCCCGCTGTCGGTCTGTCCCGGTGACAGTCTTTCCCGATGTTGGTCTGTCCCGCTGTCGGTCTGTCCCCGTGTCGGTCAGTCCCTCTGTCGGTCTGTCCCTCTGTCGGTCTGTCCCGGTGACAGTCTTTCCCGGTGTCGGTCTGTCCCGCTGTCGGTCTGTCCCGGTGTCGGTCAGTCCCTCTGTCGGTCTGTCCCGGTGTCGGTCTGTCCCAGTGTCGGTCAGTCCCTCTGTCGGTCTGTCCCGGTGACAGTCTTTCCCGGTGTCGGTCTGTCCCGCTGTCGGTCTGTCCCGGTGTCGGTCAGTCCCGCTGTCGGTCTGTCCCGGTGTCGGTCAGTCCCGGTGTCGGTCAGTCCCTCTGTCGGTCTGTCCCAGTGTCGGTCAGTCCCTCTGTCGGTCTGTCCCGGTGACAGTCTGTCCCGGTGTCGGTCAGTCCCGCTGTCGGTCTGTCCCGGTGTCGGTCTGTCCCGGTGTCGGTCAGTCCCTCTGTCGGTCTGTCCCGGTGACAGTCTGTCCCGCTGTCGGTCTGTCCCGGTGACAGTCTTTCCCGCTGTCAGTCTGTCCGGCTGTCGGTCAGTCCCACTGTCGGTCTGTCCCGCTGTCGGTCTGTCCCGCTGTCGGTCTGTCCGGCTGTCGGTCTGTCCCGCTGTCGGTCAGTCCTGCTGTCAGTCTGTCCGGCTGTCGGTCAGTCCCGCTGTCGGTCTGTCCGGCTGTCGGTCTGTACCGCTGTCGGTCTGTCCGGCTGTCGGTCTGTCCCGCTGTCGGTCTGTCCCGCTGTCGGTCTGTCCCGCTGTTGGTCTGTCCCGGTGTCGGTCAGTCCTGCTGTCAGTCTGTCCGGCTGTCGGTCAGTCCCGCTGTCGGTCTGTCCGGCTGTCGGTCTGTCCCGCTGTCGGTCTGTCCGGCTGTCGGTCAGTCCCGCTGTCAGTCTGTCCGGCTGTCGGTCTGTCCGGCTGTCGGTCTGTCCCGCTGTCGGTCTGTCCGGCTGTCGGTCAGTCCCGCTGTCGGTCTGTCCGGCTGTCGGTCTGTCCGGCTGTCGGTCAGTCCCGCTGTCAGTCTGTCCGGCTGTCGGTCTGTCCCGCTGTCGGTCTGTCCGGCTGTCGGTCTGTCCGGCTGTCGGTCTGTCCGGCTGTCGGTCTGTCCCGCTGTCAGTCTGTCCCGCTGTCAGTCTGTCCCGCTGTCTGTCTGTACCGGTGTCGGTCAGTCCTGCTGTCAGTCTGTCCGGCTGTCGGTCTGTCCCGCTGTCGGTCTGTCCCGGTGTCGGTCTGTCCCGCTGTCGGTCTGTCCCGGTGACAGTCTTTCCCGATGTCGGTCTGTCCCGCTGTCGGTCTGTCCCGGTGTCGGTCAGTCCCTCTGTCGGTCTGTCCCGCTGTCGGTCTGTCCCGGTGTCGGTCAGTCCCTCTGTCGGTCTGTCCCGGTGACAGTCTTTCCCGGTGACAGTCTTTCCCGGTGTCGGTCTGTCCCGCTGTTGGTCTGTCCCGCTGTCGGTCAGTCCCTCTGTCGGTCTGTCCCGGTGACAGTCTTTCCCGGTGACAGTCTTTCCCGGTGTCGGTCAGTCCCGGTGTCAGTCTGTCCCGCTGTCGGTCAGTCCCGGTGTCGGTCAGTCCTGCTGTCAGTCTGTCCCGCTGTCGGTCAGTCCCGGTGTCAGTCTGTCCCGCTGTCGGTCTGTCCGGCTGTCGGTCTGTACCGCTGTCGGTCTGTCCGGCTGTCGGTCTGTCCCGCTGTCGGTCTGTCCCGCTGTCGGTCTGTCCCGCTGTTGGTCTGTCCCGGTGTCGGTCAGTCCTGCTGTCAGTCTGTCCGGCTGTCGGTCAGTCCCGCTGTCGGTCTGTCCGGCTGTCGGTCTGTCCCGCTGTCGGTCTGTCCGGCTGTCGGTCAGTCCCGCTGTCAGTCTGTCCGGCTGTCGGTCTGTCCGGCTGTCGGTCTGTCCCGCTGTCGGTCTGTCCGGCTGTCGGTCAGTCCCGCTGTCGGTCTGTCCGGCTGTCGGTCTGTCCGGCTGTCGGTCAGTCCCGCTGTCAGTCTGTCCGGCTGTCGGTCTGTCCCGCTGTCGGTCTGTCCGGCTGTCGGTCTGTCCGGCTGTCGGTCTGTCCGGCTGTCGGTCTGTCCCGCTGTCAGTCTGTCCCGCTGTCAGTCTGTCCCGCTGTCTGTCTGTACCGGTGTCGGTCAGTCCTGCTGTCAGTCTGTCCGGCTGTCGGTCTGTCCCGCTGTCGGTCTGTCCCGGTGTCGGTCTGTCCCGCTGTCGGTCTGTCCCGGTGACAGTCTTTCCCGATGTCGGTCTGTCCCGCTGTCGGTCTGTCCCGGTGTCGGTCAGTCCCTCTGTCGGTCTGTCCCGCTGTCGGTCTGTCCCGGTGTCGGTCAGTCCCTCTGTCGGTCTGTCCCGGTGACAGTCTTTCCCGGTGACAGTCTTTCCCGGTGTCGGTCTGTCCCGCTGTTGGTCTGTCCCGCTGTCGGTCAGTCCCTCTGTCGGTCTGTCCCGGTGACAGTCTTTCCCGGTGACAGTCTTTCCCGGTGTCGGTCAGTCCCGGTGTCAGTCTGTCCCGCTGTCGGTCAGTCCCGGTGTCGGTCAGTCCTGCTGTCAGTCTGTCCCGCTGTCGGTCAGTCCCGGTGTCAGTCTGTCCCGCTGTTGGTCTGTCCCGCTGTCGGTCAGTCCCTCTGTCGGTCTGTCCCGGTGACAGTCTTTCCCGGTGACAGTCTTTCCCGGTGTCGGTCAGTCCCGGTGTCAGTCTGTCCCGCTGTCGGTCAGTCCCGGTGTCAGTCTGTCCCGCTGTCGGTCAGTCCCGGTGTTGGTCAGTCCTGCTGTCAGTCTGTCCCGCTGTCGGTCAGTCCCGGTGTCAGTCTGTCCCGCTGTCGGTCTGTCCCGCTCTCGGTCTGTTCCGGTGACCGTCTGCCCCGTCCAACATTAGCCTGTGGTGAAGAACAACGTACTTTAAAAATATTTTTTTTTCTTACCAGAAGTCAAATTTTCTGGATGATGTATGTATGAACAGGGATTGTAAGAGTCCAGATCTGGATCCGGATCTGAACTGCAGCTTAATCCAAACCCAGGTTTTATTTTTAAGACATTAAAAGTGAAAAACCTGCAGCCTTCTGTGTGGGACCTGATCCCTGCATCGCATCCTGAAGCTATAATTGTCATAAATAACTACTTTGTCCTACATGATGGACAAAGGCAGGACAGCCGCCCTTAGAGAGCTTTCTACAAGCTGTTAACCGAAACCACAGAGGAACCGGATCATGAAATGAGTGACATAAAAACTTGAGTTATTCTTCAGTTTCTGTAAAGATCTTCTCTATTTAGACTGAAGTTAATCAAGTTTTAGATGAACTGAGGTTAGAAACCATAAAGCAGCTTTCTAAAACCAAGCTAAGCCTATTGTGGAACAGAAAAGAATGACCTGAAACTCATGGAGGACATTTTATTGGTCATTTCTCCACAGTTACTCATAATGCTGTTGGAGCAATTGAAAAGATCATTAAAGCTCCTTAAGGGCTGGTTAACAAAGATTAAAAAATTGTCCAGTGGTCTTTAAAACTAAAGTGCGCCCACACATGATCGTAAAAGATTTAGGTGCATTCTATCCAGCAACTCTACAAGTACAGCAGACTTCACAAGAAAAAAACTGTGCAGACAGTGGGGGAGAGAGGCTTTGTTCTGTTTGCCATGATGAGACGGAAAATAAGTAGTTATGAGGTGTTTTAGGCCAGAAAGTGCTTCCCAAAATGTGCAGTCGGTTCATTATGGAGTGATTTTCTTCCATTATTGTTACAAGCAAAGAACACTTTTTGTAAATTGAAATTTGAACGCAGTAATGAAACTTTAAAACATTGTAATCACAAAAGCCTTTCAGAGTAACTTTACCGTCTTCTTTTAATCTAATCATATTGGTGTTCTTTTAACTCCTGGCTTTTCTCTGGAGTAAGGAGTATTGGTCTGCATGAACGTTAACAAAAACATTTAAATGGTCAATGTGGGCGTCAGCGGCCAGCGTTTGGATTGGCCTGGGAGTAAAGAGGATCTGATCTGGGAAACGCAGTTTGAAAAGAATACAATATTAAA